TAATTATCCACCATATGGGAGGTCAAGTGACAATAGAGCATGACTATAAAAAGTTTCCAGAAGCAAAAAAATAATTAAGGATGCTTATATGAGAAAAGATAAATCATAATGAATGGATGGGCAGATAATATTGCATTGTGGTCACCAGCGGAGTGTGGTTATACCTCTACCTTCTGAAGAATATTACTAAAGAGACCCTCAAAGCATATATATGTAAGAGTCTTGCTGGCTACATTTATGAAATGAAATCTATATAATGATAAGACATGTTTGCTTAAAGCAAAAGTAGTAGCATCTCAGTATAATGACCAGCTGTTGAAAAAATACAGGCATTGTGATTACAGAGCGTTGCACTTGTGTTGCTAAGTAAGTGTATTGTAATCGTTGCACACTTGAATCTTTTTACAACCTGGGGCTGAAGCCCCCAGGTCGTTCCTATAATTGATTTCTCCGCGATATATATTTGATTGTATGTCAACTCTTACATTTCTTCTATACACGTTGTATTGGAGAAATAACAAGCCTTAGCAACCACCCGCACACGCTATGTAAGTGGGTGTGGTCACGGCAAACAAGATGGCGGTTTGCACATGGGACAAAGTTATGAGCTTTCTAACAGCGAAAGAACATAGAGATACTGTCTAAAGACTTCTCTAGAAGCATTAGAAGGTAGAGAGAACCTTCATAAGTCTTAATAGGAGCCCAGTTGTACTTGCAAGGGGGTGAAATCAATTATAGGAATATTTTTACACTAATACGCTTGTTGATATTATTGTCAGTGTGGAGTGACCTCACCTGTAGCGGCTATTTTATTATGATAGCTAAAAAATAGTGTACACAGCTTCCCTTGTGTTTCGAACAAACGCTCTTCGAATAAAATACACAAAATGTGATTTAATTACTCCAGTAAAGGATCCACCACAAACTATATGTAAAATAAATCTTAAGTCACCCAACATGATGAAAAAGTAGGAAGATTGGACCAGCTCTTGCTAAAACAAGCAGACAAGTATTTGAAAAGGAAGCACCACATTTATTATAAAAATAATTCTTGATTTTTACATCATGTATATCCAACATCTGTTATACACCTGTATTTACTATTGTTCCTAAGTACTGCATCGTTAATGAAGTGCAAGTTAATCAAAACACAAGATTCAGATAACAGTTCCTTTAAACATCATTGGTAGAACAACATCAAAAGCAGTCAGATAACATAGTGATTATATCATCAAAACCCCTTTGACAGAAATATAACCAATAACAATGTCAACTTCTTCTACCTCATTGGTTTTACCTCTACTTTTGTTAAGTCTCAATGATCCAAACATTGAGCTTACTATGATGCTACAGGAATGCGACAAAAGAGTAAGTAGAAATTGTATTTTGCATGACAAAAAAGAACAATCTAAATCACACCATTGGTATCAGCATTAGTCTCCCGAGGCCAGCTAAAGAGGGGTTAGCCAAGCATTATTTAGTCTCCCCAGGCCAGCTAAAGAGGGGTTAGCCAAGCAAGACTATATCAGCATAAGAAGGGTTTTATTACGTCACCTTTAGTTCATTCTGTGATCAAGTATAGTTTATAGTTGAAACTTATCCTGCAACTATTGCTAAAAAAGCTATGCAGTATGAGGAACTTAATCCAAATATTCCAGCTATAAAATAGGGCTGTGACCATACAGTGACACACAAAACAAATACTTCAATAACATAAAAAACACACACACTTCAGTCGACAAGTTGATCTCTGCAGACCAACTGGCCTTGTGATTAATAGCATGCAGCAAGCAATAACAATGGTGCAAGCAGCAGCAGCCCCTTATTCCAACTATCTTTATGGCCTGAACCAACATATAAAGTCCAGGTACTTTACCAAGGTTGCTCTTAACAATGGTCAGGATCCCTATGCACTAAATAGGGGAGTGTTTATTAAGGATCCAGAGCAATTACCATTACTAGGGTATGCCAGTATTTGTGAGTCTTACTTCTTACCATTTTTGAATCTAGTTATCCTGCCATAGTATTCTACATGTATCTTCTTCATTCACAAAGCTTCATTACTAATGAGGAAGTGAAGAACTACAAAAGTTTGCTAAGCTCCAAATATTCCATTAGTGGCTGGGTTCTGGAAGTGGGATAAAAGATCTATAACAATTCTCGTCAATCTCCTGATCAAGTTGTACTTGTTGTAGGGAAAGTTAGGCACAGCTACAATGTACTCCATTATAAAAAGCCTCTGCTATATCCTTGGGTTATTATAAAGCAAAGTGGAGCTGTTTTACTATAAATAGGTCAATGTACTTGCAAGGCTGCAGTCTTGCCGTTATACTGCATTGGATAGAAGCTGCAGTTAGAATCAACACGAGCACCACATCAACCTCCTCCTGGCAAATGCCCAAAGCAATGAATAACACTCCATTTCTTGAGCTCAAGAATATCAGTTTTATAGCGGCCAGTAAGTCTGTAGCTCAAAGAGTAAGGAGATGTCCAAGGAGCAAAATAAGATGACAGTTATATTATCTCTTCTTTCACCTTATAATGCCTCATTTATTACAAGCAATGAGCATTTACCACAATTATTTTGTACTTTGTATGATCCTCTAGTAGCAGATTATAACATAGAGCCAACTAAAATTGATAAGGTAAAGTGACATGCCAGCATAATTGCCCATCAATCTAAATCGAAAGTATGGTTTCAGTAAAGAGCTGGTTGAATCATTGCCTCTTGATTGAGACAAGTAACCCACACGAGTGCTATTAAGCCAAACATCTCCTTAATCAAGAGTTCATGTTACCCTGGAATTTACCTCTTCCGCATTATGACCACAGTTATTATTACATCAGGTCCAGCTGCAACTGTTTGCCACTGATTGACAATACTGTTACTTTGTTGTTTGGTCTAGGGAAAGTGAACTACATTTAGAGGAAATCACTTTAGAGGAATCATTCATTTAGGCACAAAATACATTATAATGAAAAAGTTTGGAGATTATGCATTCTTCCAAAGCTAATGAGAAAATTCTGTTCAAAGCAACAGATTTCTACATCAACTGCTGCTATTTGATTTATCCCTCTTGTAAATGCAGGTATAGCTAGTGTTGCAACATCAAATCCACATGCATAAGAGCTACATGTATACTTGGAGATTTATCATGTGCACTATGATTATATTTTTTGTTTTCATTAGTATTGCCCGATACAGGTAGGTTGTAATCAGTGATATCAATAAATATCAATAGAGTGGTTTCAGGTGACTTCATACAAGTCATAATTACTTCCGTATGGCAAAAAGAGTGCATCTTTATAAAATATTGCAGGCTTATAACAATGGTGAATTCTTGCTGTGATTTTAACTGTACAGCAAGAGATTGCAAAGAGACCAAAGATACGTGCAATAATTAAAGTGCTACAGAATTCCTCCAAAGGATCCAAGAAGAACGTTATGGCTAAACGCTATGAAAAGGAAGGACTTTGAGCCAAAGCAGTATAGTCAGCATTTTGTTGGAGGTAGCCAATCACTAACTAATAATTTTATTTGATCTTAGATCTTAAAAGTGATGATCCACTGTCTCCTTCTTATGTGTTTTGCCTTTTTGCCTTACTTCCAGCTTTTTGAAAAGCCATGATATGCAGAGATACCACACCATGAAAAAGACAGAGCATTACAAAGGTACAGATATCAATGTAGCCTCAAGTCAAAGTTCTGGACCAATGATCATTCCTGCCAATAGAGTGAGCTTTGTGACACAAACTGAAATTATTGTAGTTAACATTGAGACTCATCAAGCTGAATTATAGTCAATAGTAGACGCATGAAGTGGCAGACCTAAAGAGAGCTATACTCAAAGGATATCTGTCAATGGAAGATTTCGTAGCTAGTGAGAAACTATTACACCTTTATGCCAGGCAAAATAATGTCACCATTTTAATGGCTGTATTCCATTTAGTGAGTGTTGCTATTGTTTGCAATCCTTTGTCAAAGCTAGATATATTTGCTTCACAATATTTGTGATGAAGCTGAGGCTCAATGGCAAAAAATTCTTTCAGGTGTGGTGTATGTGCGTGCACTGCATCTAGAGTATTTTCTAAATAGATTTATGTCATGAATGATGTACGACTTAATTTTCTGCATACTTAGCCAAAGAGGGAATTAATTCAAAAGACAATGCCTTTCAGTTTTATTCTAACATAAGGCTTTAAGGGGTCACTTTAAAATTGACTACTCTGAGTTGTTCATTAACAAAAACCATCAAATCTCTTAGCAAAGTCATGTATTAAAAACAAATACTGTAGTATAAACACAATGAAATGCAAGGGCCACATTTTGAGTAGATAGAAGCCAGCTAAAATGAGCCACTCAAAGTACTATAATGAACTACATGTAGATGCACAATCACTGAGGACATACATGCATCAAGAAAAGTGCAGTATGGTGGGACTATCAGTAGACCCTTACATTTCTAAATACTTTTGTTTGTGGATCTGACCGTGATGAATTAAATATCCTGATATTTGCAATTACTGTCTATCTGAGTGATTTTAATTTTACTGGATTAGAAGTTTAAAAAATTATATCATGTATAATAATCATATGCCATTCTATAAAACATGACACAGTCTTATTTTAGTAAAAATTCATAATTTTAAAACATAAAAATTTCCTGCTGCCTAAATTTCCTGATCATATTTATATTATTAGTGCTCACACCAAGGAGCACCTGAAGGCCTAAAAGAGCATGGATGGCTATAATTTTCCTGTACAAGGCTGGGTAAAGAACCTGGAGGCTCTAGAGCATTATGAGGCTGTCATCATGAAAGCAAATGTCAGGCATTCTCAAAGTCTGTCATCAACCTCCTCTGCATTCATGGGTAGCAGTCAAAAAGGATGGAGCAGTCATACATGTATGTGCTCATTGTACATGTACATGTATGACCGGTTTGGGGGAGACCTGTTTACACTCCAACAATCACAATCTCAACTGTTGTTTAAACGCAGGAAAGGATTGGAAGAATTACTTTGTCAAACATGCATTCTGTACTTAGATAAACAGGAAAGAAGTACCAAAGTCCATAGTCAATAATATAATGCAGTACACTTCACTAAACCCAGATCTTCTGCATTGAAATGGGGGAAAAATAAGGCCATTGCTAGAGAGCACTACTCTACAAAGCAAAAAGAGAAACACTAGTTTTGACACCCATTTATCTGGACTTACATGTTGTATAATGTATCCCTAGATTGCTGCCAGTCCTAATGGCATTTCGTCTTGTGATTGCTGTGGAACAAAATAATTGGAAATAAAGTGTTCGTACACAATAAGAGATATTTCACCAGTTAGTGACGAGGCTTTGAGCAATCACACCTACTGTGTCTCTAAAGGGGTGGATCAACAAATAAGGATATCAAGGATACACAAGAATTACACAAAAATTGCTTGTCAGCTGTTTGTGGCTGGTATCAATTTTGTGTGCTGGACATCTGATAGCACGTTTGTCAAGAGTATCTATCAGGACCAGAGCTACATGTACATGTGTATTGTAAATTTGTCATAAAATTATAAACAAATCCCAGTTGTTCTTTTGTGACTACTTGCTGCCAAAGCTATTGACTCACAACTTTAAAGAAAAGAAGGTGATTCTTGAAACGGTTACGGATAAATGACAAAATTTATTGTTTTTGCAAGCAAGAAAACCGGAGGGAATGATAGCCTGTGACAATTAAGATTGTGATTTAAGATGGTCTCACTAACGAATGTGTGTCAATCAAAAGAAAGCCTTTTGAAGGAAAATAGTTCTGCCCACAATGCAGGAATAAAAAATCTATAATTAGTTTTAATAACGTTTCAATTTTTCCAACAAATATAACAAAATTTAGTTACATTAACCAATGTTGCAGTAGCAGCAATTATTTTGTGCATGGCTGTTATACTGTAGCTGCATGCTGAAACAGCAGAATCTCTTCCTTATTTTGATGCTTTATTCTTTTTTACCACTCATACTTTGTATAAAATAATAAAGAATGAATTTATATTGCATGGCTAAAGGTGGGTTCTCAATATGACATAAGCTGACAAAAAGTTGGAGGCATACACTTTTGCATCTTCGATAACCTATTCTCAATTTTTATTCATTGTGTGACAAGCCCAACCCATATCAATTAATTAAACTAGGTTGCTATGGATGTGTGCACACTTGAACTGCAATGGATGAGGAAAAAGAAATGCTTTTGGCTTTAGCTGGGCTCTACGCTTTGAAAAAAAAGAAAGCGTAGGCCCAAATAATTTTGGATCAAAAATACTCTCACGGTGCCTTCAGCAGGGTGAGTACCACCAACATATGCAAGAGAAGAGGCTAGTTGGTCCTGAAAGTTTTTCCTGTATGTGAGGAAGAGCAAAAAGAGACTTGATCTTCTCTTAGCAAAGGTAATAAAATTATGTTTAATTTTATTAAACATAATGCAATTTTTAAACATAATGCAATTTTTAAACATAATTATGTTTAAACTCCTTCCCATTGAAAACGTACATGACGAGACCATATCCAGGACACCATCTTGATGAATCAAAATTCAAAAGTCATTTATAACTAAAGATTAAGCCAGGCACGCAGAGTCATAAAGAATGCTTTCAGTATTCTTGCTTTGAGGTGGCGTATAGTTCGAAGACCAAAAATTGCTAATCCAGATCACGTCATATTGTTTACTTGAGCTGCAGTAGCCCTTCACAATTATTTAAGAACTACAGAGTCCTTAATTTACATACCTCCTGGATTTGTAGATGGAGAAGATGGAAGGAGAATAAATGATGAGTCTGGTGCTAGTTTGCAATCAGTACATTGTACCAGTTCAAATTATCATTAATATTTACCATTAAAAAATAGATACTCTGCAGAAGTTGCTACTGTAAGAGATATGTTTAAAGATTACTTTTGTAGCACCATGCAGTGGTTCTAAACCTTGGCAGTATTCACATGCTAAACGCACTTATGTAAAGACTTCCGCCTTTTCATTGCATCATCAACAGTAAAACTAGTCTGTCATCAAATAAAAATTTTGAGCATCATGCAGTATTGCTGTTGCATGCAATGTAATTATAATAGTACTTTACCTCTTCAGCTACTTTTACCCACGCATTTTCTCTAGCTCTTGAATCTCTATAGACGTGGGATGATACTTGCCAAAGACAAAGGTAGTTTCTAGTGCTTTTTATCACTATTATCAGCCTTTCATCTGCCATACTTGCTGCTGTAATAGGCTTTTTACCTACCATGCTCCAATTCCTTCATCATGTGATCCCTACAAATTGACACGTGATCAGAGCATTCTGATTGGTCAGACGCATTAATAGGCCTGGGCGATATATCGATATTATACATTGTAGTTGTACCGCGGTACAATTTCATTATAGTAGCGGTCTATATTACGCTATTGAAAAATACCAATTATAGTTAGAACCGTCTTACCGTCACGTGTACGGTATTTCTGCATGTGGTCGCTTGAGTAAAAAGATATGGCTAGTCAACCAGAAGAAGAAACAAAGAATGAGAGAACTAACACACTCGTTGCCAAGCCTGGGACAAAGTCTCTTGTCTGGGACTATTTTGGGTTGAGGAAGGATGAGCAAGGCAAGCCAATCAATGACGGGCGAGCGGTATGTCACTCTTGCCTTCGTCAAGTAGTAGCAAAACATGGAAACACATCCAACCTTATTGCTCATCTTTGAGTAAACCACAGCAGGATTCACTCTGAGCTTCAAGATGCTCTCAAAAGGAAGTCCAGTGGTAGTACCAACAGCGGCAATGCAAGTGGAAAAGCTTCCCCGGTTACTCAACTCACATTAAAAGCCTCGATGGAAAAGTCTCAGGAGTACGATAGGAAAGGAAGAAAGTGCATGGAGCTAACTGATGCGGTCACCTACTACATTGGTAAAGGAGCTGTTCCCATTTTAACAGTAGAGAAACCAGGATTTAAGAAGTTGTAAAAGAAATTTGATGCTAGATACCAACTTCCAAGTAGGAAATACTTATCTCAGACAGCCTTACCTAAGCTTTATACCTTTGTTAAAAAAAGAGTTAAGCAAGAGCTACATGTACATGTATCTGGTGTGAAGTTCTTTTCGGCTACCTGTGATATATGGTCAAGCAGAGGTATGACGCCATACATGAGCTATACTGTACACTACATAAGTGAAGAATGGAAATTCAGCAATAGATGCCTTCAGACACAATTTCTACCTGAGGATCATAATGCTAAAAATTTTGGAGAGGCTATGACAGTTACACTAGAATGTTGGGATCTTGATGCTTCTAATCAAGTTTGTCTTACTATTGACAATGGTAGTAACATTGTGAAGGCTGCTGCAGATTTAAATTAGTCAAGACTATCGTGTTTCGGACACAACTTACATCTTGCCATCACCAAGGCTCTCAAGATGACAGGAGATGTGTGCGTGCTCTTGGTTTCAGTCATAAAACTGTTAGTTCAATATCCAACAGCTGGAAAAGGAGGAGAGAATTGACCAAGGCACAGATTGATCTTAAATTAAAGGAGCAAGCTTTAATTTCAGTAAGTAATGTATAATAATTATAATAATTTTAATTCATTAATTATAGGATTGCGCAACTAGGTGGGGTTCTATGTCTAAGATGGTTGATAGGATTCTTGAACAAGAGGAAGCTATTCGGAGAACTTTGAGTTCAGATTGGGAAACATCTCACTTAGTGCCAACATGGCAAGACATTGACGTTCTTCAGGCAATACACACAGTTCTCTCTCCTCTTTCAAGCCTCACAGATATTCTATCAGCAGACTCATATGTTACTGTATCAGCAGTCATTCCTTTCCTACACCTCATTGACAAAAAATTTCTAAAAAAAGAGTCAATAGATACACAGCTAACACATGATATTAAGAAGCATATCAGGGATGATCTCAATGAACGTTACAGTAATAGGGGGAAAGATATCAAGGTAATACTTAAGACTGCAATGTTTCTCGATCCACAGTTTAAGACCAAGTATTTGAATGAGCAGGAAAATGAAATTGAAGATATGAAGTTGTTTATAACAGATAATTCCCCTGACATCGAGGTAGCATCACAATCGCAGAGTGAAAATTCTTGTGATCAACCACCTGCACAGAGAAGATGCATTGGTAGTTTGTTTAAGGATAATGAAGAAACTGATGTCATGCCTGAGATATCAAAGGAACAATACATTAATAATGAATTGGATAGATATATTAGCTCACCTAAGTTGGACTTTGAGGAGGACCCACTAAGTTATTGGAAGGATGTGCACAAAACTTACCCCTATCTCTCAAACCTTGTTAAAAGGTACATGTACCTCTGTGTTTGTGCAACAAGTTCCTCCTCTGAACGTCTCTTCAGTGCATCAGGCAATATAGTAACACCATGTAGAAGCAGTTTGAAACCAGAAAAAGTACACATGCTTACATTTTTAAACAAAAACCTTGAATAGTTGTGTCACTTATGTAAAGTTATTGTGAAAAACACTTTCTTTCTCCAAATTTAGTTGTCATAAATAATTTAACGTTAATATAGTATATTAAGGTATATAGTTAGAATTGATAGCAAAATATTGAGGTATGAAAAGTGTCCATACCGCCCAGGCTTACGCATTAGTACATGTAGTTGTGTCAGAATAGAAATACTGTACATTCTATTCTGACGCAAATTTTTACAAAGGCTAGCGCTTTCTGTTTACAATATGACTGAGTACATGATGCAACAATGCAAGAAATGTAGCATCATATTGAGAATCAACCTTTACTTATCATGTCTACTGTATTATCAAGAGTCGATATTAAGGAGAGTGTCTAATGTGCCTATAATCTGTGATACCACAGTACATATGTTTACATAGCATGGTGATTATATAGCACCAAGTAGCCATTCTTGCATCCTTTTATTGATTCCAAGTCAGAAAGCTACAAATAAGAAATTTAGAATGACATATTCCTGTCTGGTCCTGCTTGTTTCTCGCACTGCATGATCCTCAAAGTGGAGATACATGTACATGTATAAGTCTTAAAGTTCGCCTGCATGCTTCAAGCGCCATTTTATCAACAATACCCATAAATTTGAAGATTAGATCTACTGAGATTAACTCTGTATAGACCAATTGCATTAGGCAGGGCAGTTAGGAGGTTGGGTTTCTGTGGGCCATCTTAGTGTACATATACATGCTGCCTTAGATGAGTACCGAAAGCAAGCAATTTTTTCTGGATATCAGTCTTCCTTAGAAACTGATGACAGTAGACAGCGTTGTAAAGAAAAGCTGGATATGCATGTAATTGGTGGTTTAGATCCTTATGAAGCTACCAAGAGCGACTGGTTTGATGATGTGGACTTGTGGTCAAGTGTCACTTGTGGTCATATTGCAATGTATTTGCTACTTACACAAAGCCCATATTCCAATGAAGATCTTTTAAATTATAAAAGTATAGATTGCTATAACCATTTCCTCTCTAGATGGGTAAGAGAGATACTAATCAAAGCTCCCACTGATGATGTGTGAGTACTAATAGCCAGGGTAAGCTTTATTGGTTGAATTATTGATAATTAATGTGCCCTGAACATAGGTGAATCATTCTCAAAGATTTAAGTGAAAAGCCTCTTACTCCATGGGTGATTACTGAGAGTAATTTTCTTTTAAATGTGGCATTGCTATCAGCGAGTAGAGGATATCTATCAATGAATAAATTGAAACAGATTAATTAATTGATAGCAAGTGGAATGTATTGAGGGAAAAAATGGCGGGAAGAGACAATTGAGCTGACAGTTCCGATGGCACAGAGGCCGTGTTAAGTAACCCAACCACATTACTCCAGGATACTGTTAACCACTTAGAAGGTAAAGCTTCAGTCTGTTATTATAAGATTTAAACTATGACCAACCTTTGTTTATATAGCTCCAGGGCAGATTAGTAGTCAACCAACAACAACCACAGTGTCTGTAGTACAACTGTCAGCTACGCTTACCGCACCACAAGTATTTGCTACTAATATTCATTCTGTCAGATCTGAGAGAATGACACCAGTTCCTAGTAGTTTCTCTTGGAACCCAGGCTCTAGTACTAGTTCCAGGCTTTTAGTGGCAAGAAAAGGAAAGTGGAGAGAGTCAGCACCCAAAGCGAAGGAAAGTGGCAACTTGGACTCACACATTTGTGTGCCTAGCTAACAAACAGCAAGATATCATCCCTGATGGCAATGAAAGAGCTAAGCTAAAATTGGCTGGGCTTGGAGAAAAAAGATCTCAATGTATGCAAATGCAGATTCTCAAAATGTAAACCAAGAGCTTTTATTTACTTTTCCGAAATTGGCCCAATCTGAGGGATTTGAGCTACTAAGGGTATCAGAAGGTGGAGGAGGGTGTCTTGATGTCATTAAATGACCAAGGAAAGGCTATAACGCAGCCTACTTGAAAGTAGTAGTACATAACGCCAAAGTATATGTGAGGCCACTGCAAAGGAATCTATCCATAGAGGAAAGCCCAACTGTAGAAGATGTACATGTAAGTATACTGGTAGTATTAAATTAATTGTAATGTGTAATTTTAATATTTATAGGAATTCCTAGATGCACCAAAGGAGAAGTGTTTAAACTGTGACAAAATGGTGCTTTTGCTGAACTGAAAGATCATCTTATTTCTTGCAATAGGTCTACAACGCAAGCAGTAAATTCTGGATATATTGGTTTTTTTATTCAATTGTTTGATCATGCAAAAAATGTTCTTGATAGGAGTACTAACATCTACACTGAGGAAGACACATTTCAATTTGATGACTCTATGGTTCAGGACTATTTTGACCCAGTATTGGATGTGGCATTATATGAGTTATCAGCAACAGAAATTTATGATAACAGCAATGAGCAGCTGTAAATCAAATTCAAAACAATATTTAATTGTAGTGCTACAACTATTATTAACTCTGTTTCTTCTTCTTCTTCTTCTTCTTATTATTATTATTATCATTGTTATTGTTAAATTTCTTCATTTATATAGTCATTGTTGTCTTTTTTAATAATAATATACACTGAGTTCTGTTTAATAATGATATTATTTTATATTTCTTTTAAAATTACATTTGTGTTGTAGGTCAATTGACAAATAATAGAACAATTGCAAAGACAAATTTAAAAAGAGACTTTTGAAATGGTTGTTAGTCTCAGTTCTAGATAATGCTCTGCCACGCTTAATAAAACCAACATTTGATCCTAAGAAGAAGTTAAAAGTATGTGTAATTTGAACACTTTAATTTGATACCAATCCATATTAGGTGGTGTTTGACTTTGAGGCAGGCTATGATACTGGAGGTCTAATGAGAGAGTTTTTTGCTTAGTTTGTGATACAATTAGTCAGCGATATATGGACATAAGTGGTTGCTTTCAACGTAATGTCATAGCATATCAATTAATTGATGATAATGTATGAAATTATTTTCATGCTTATATAATAGGAGCAAGTATATTACCGTTGTGGTATTTTAATTTCCATGGCATTTGTTCATGGTGGAGCTTCTGTTAAATTATTTGGGCCATCTGTTTATAAGTACTTATGTGGTGATGATCCATCAAGTATTACAGTAGAAATTACTGAAGTTTCTGATCATACTTTACGTTCATTCTTGCAGCAGGTACGCATAATTTGTGTATATACATAGCAAATTCAATTTCTTATAGATTGAGTTTACAGATGATACCTCTTCTTTAAAAAAATTATTAAATAGTAATGCTAGTGTCCTTCTTGACAATGGCTATAATAAGCCTATCTGCAACATTGCATTGTGTGATAAGCAAAACATAATTCACACTGTTTCTCTAAATCAAGTAATTATTTCATCACTAGCTGAATTGAGCCAGTTCAGAAGTGAATTAGCAGTACTGGGGGTTGATGATATGATGAAAAAATACACTGCAGTGTTAGCCCCATTTTTTTGCCTAGTGCATGGAGAAGGAAAATCTTACAGCAGGTAATTATTATCTATGTCTTTATATTTATATTATTGCATTTTGTTTGTTGTATATTTTTATTATTATTTTCTTATACTTTATCTTATAGATTTGGTCCATAAACTATTTACTGTGATCAGATATGCGCCAGAAGGTAGTAATGAGCGTCAGAAGTAAGTTAAGGCATATATGTGACCATAATTGACAAAAGGTACCTTATGGCGGATAGGAAAATTGGTCTTTATAGCCTTAAAAATCCTACTTCCTGAGCTCCATTCATCATAAAATTGCTCCAGAGGATGCAAAAAGTTACTATGTAACTTTTAGAAACAATTGTTGACTAACAGAGCACTCACAGGCTGATATTTTTCATCATAATGATGAATTTTAAAATCCACCATAAGGTACCTTTTGTCAATTATGGTCACATATGTATTTTATAGATTATTTGGATGACCTTGAGAAAGGTATATGTGATGAATATGCTATTGTCATCAATGATTCTTTTGTATTTAGTCCAAGGAACTGGTTCTTCTGAATTAGCTAAATTAGAGCAAGTATTATCCTTTTTACTGGAGCAGTAAGTATACCACCAAAAGGATACAATTCTGTCACTTTAAGTTTTAATGGAGATAACTCGTATCCAACTGCATCAACTTGTGGGGTAGAACTTACTTTGCCAACAAAATATGACAATTATACTGCTTTCAAAGAGTCATTGGATACTGGATTTGGCCTAGCTTAACACTTAACTTTTGTTTGCATTTAAACTGAGAAACAATGATTATTACATTTTAAGAATTTTTGGTGTTGTTTACATGCATACATGTTGATTGCAAAACTGAAAAGCAAAATTATTAAAATTACAATGAAATTGTGGCATAAATTAAGAGAGAGAGGATATTGAAATAAGGTGTTACAATTAAAGCTGTTGGCAAATATAGTTTAAAGCATTGAAATATAAATCAACACCATAGTTGCTACTATCTTGCAGTGGTGTTACTTGAGCTTGCAAATCTGAGAATGCTTCACCACTAAGAAGACCACCTATTTCTAGCACTTGATTCTGATTTTCATCTTCTTGAGAGACAGGAATAGACCAGTCAATACCATAACTTTGAGCATCTTCCTGTTTTAAAAATGTTTGCCATGCATCAAATAGTGTATAGCCAATTCATTCTCTTACTTCAGACAATGTTTCTGCTTCAGTGAATGTCTCTTGAGTTTGTGTGTGGTATAATTCCCTAATCTATAATTGTATGGGAGACAAATTTCTTATAGTAGATAAAGAATGATTGTTCCAAGCTTCTTTAAATTGAAACAAAGCACGATTCATTCTCGGAATAAATATGTATTGAAGGGAATACATGTGGGCATCATTGTTTACGTTCAAAACTCTTTGTTTCTCCATTTCATAGAATAGGCCATAAAACAGTGATGTACATCCTTGAAATAAATCTCTCCACAATCACTCAATTCGTTGGTTATGGACTGATCTTCCACTAATAAAACTCCCTCTTCCAGGTCCTCTTAAAGGATGCTGCAACATAAACCTTTCAACACCAACATTTTCTCCTCCCTTATCAGCCCTTACATGACTAGGCAATCAAAGCTCTTCCACTGATTGTTGGAACAATCAAAGAACTGTTTCTGACCTATTGTTGTTACAAGCATGTAGATAAATAATGCGCCTGCTGTAGCCATCTATACAACCATGGATCACTATCTTCCATCTACAAACATCATAAGAATAATAATTATCAATCAAACCCAATTAAACCCAAATACCTTATTAATTCCATCAATATGATAGAGTGATAATGGTCAGGGAAAAGAATATTCTCTTCAATGTATAACATTAGACTGTCTCATAACAGCACCCTCAGGATCTACTCTTCTTTGTGATAATCTAATACGACTTTGTTGAATTTGGTAGCCTCTAGCTACAAGATGGTCTCGCATTTGTCTGTTTCCACAGTTTGGAAAATCTTGTTGTACATGTATTTGTAATACAAGTTCATCCAGCTGTTGATCACTTATACTTGAGTAACATGCTCTGATAAAGAGACCATAAGCCGACATTCTTCTTCTAATAGTCTTTACTGACATACACAATATTTCAGCGATTTGAGGCACAGTAAATTGACTTTCTATGAGAAAGTTGCTCCCGTGATACAGCAAAGCTTGGGCGACCAATTAAGCTGGTATATACAATAGTAGGCCTTGGATCAGCATCAAATATTTCTGCAGGACTAGACTCTGCCATGAGGACACAGCAAGTATCCTCCACTTGATGATACAAGTCAGCCTCCTCCAGGCCTGCTCCAATAAAGTAAAAATAGGCTCTAATAGTTTTAAAATGTGTCCAATTTTAAAGGAAAGCAATATCCTAATTTTGGCACTAATCACCTCCCATAAGATGGCTTGGTATTTTGTATATGTTGTTGGGAAGGCACATGTGAAATAAAAGTGTGTTAAGTTTTAAGTGCATGTATAATTCATATCTACTGTAGTGCCCATATACATGTAGTCACAAAAATGACTCAATTGAAGAATCAGTTAAAGATACCAACTTTTGTCTTTTTAAAAATGATGATGGCTCTTTTGATTTGAAAAAATATCATGCATATTATTACCAGGTGTGTAAAATTTTTGTACAAGGAGAAGCTACATGTATTGGACTGATAAGGATTTATACATTGCAAGGATTTACCCAGACGAAGACTTTTGGTCATTGAAAATTATGAAAGTAGAACATTTTCTATAACAGCCATCTTACTAGAGCTCCTAGGAAAATTCTATTCCCGAAATATATCTGTTCAGTCAGGGGATTGTAGCTTAACTTCATCCTCCACAGTTACAAGTTACTGCTGTTGTGATGGTCCAGAAGAAGGCAGCATGGTAGGGTGTAATAATCCCAGTTGTGTCTACCAATGGTTTCATCTACATGTAGATTGCCTTGGCCTCGAATCTGAGCCCACATCAAAGCACTGGTATTGCCCTGACTGTCGCAATTTACCTGCTTTTCAAAGAAAGACTGAGAAAGCTAACAAATAGACTTCTAGTACATTTAATCAAAATTTATGTAATCTCATAATACATTTAATGACAATTACTGATTTCACTTTGTTAATAATCACCATGAATCATAATAAGTAACTTAATCAAATGGAACAACAGAGTCACATACAACTAGAGCACAAGAAACACAAACTCTTTTATCAAGTGTCGTTTCTTGGTAGTCGTCAGATGTCATAAAATCAACTGGTAAAGTAGAACTAAGAAAAGAATATTTCTTCCGCACATTCCCAATAACTCGTTCCACATGTACATGTACATGTATGCGGGCATTGGCAATCTTCCTGGTTTGTTCAGCACTTATTGGATCAAGCTGCTTTTTGCTTTTTTTGTAAATGCTGGAATTACTAATTTTGAACACAGGAGTCCAACAGAGTCTCTTATGTCAAAACCACGATCTGCCAAAATGGTGTCTCCTGGTAAGAGATTGTTGTAGAGTTTACTATGTTCTATGATAAACTTGTCATTGGTTCTTCCTCCCAGCCTTCTGAAATAAAGCTAAGAGTAGGAGTGATACCAATGAGATACATGTATGTGTACTTTACAGTATTATGGTGTTTGTACGATGAATCTCTGTGCTCAAGCAAGTAGATTTGTTGATAATAACAATACAACTGGGGAAGTGCTTACAAAAACCATTGGCATTGTTTTTTCAAGGCATCTTGATCTGGCCATCTGATCAATGGTTTAAGTTTCACATGCAGAATTTCAATGACGCAAAGAAAAACACGACTTACTGTTGAGTTATGCACATTGATTGGTATGCCAAGTCTTGACCGTGTAAATTTAAACGCCACTTCATCAATGTCAGTAACAGCTATTGAAATGAAGACAATGATAAATTTCCAGTGTCATTCAAAAAGGTTTTATATATGTGAAGAGTGCCATAAGCAAACTCCATGTACTAAGACTAGTATAAAATAATACTTTCTTGTCATTATCCTTAAAATATTCCTCATTAATGTATCGCTCTTTCAGTTCAAATTCTAACAAATGAACATCCTTTTTCAGAGTTTCGTTCTTTTTTTTCAATTCCTCAAATTCATCCTGATACTTCTTCATATCTTCCAAACCTAGTGATGGGTCTCTTTGAAGAGCCATACTGCAGGAGGTATGTACAACATGATCAACATCATTAGCTTCAGTATCATAGTTCTTGGCTGACTGAATATCATGGCTTTCAGACTCCAATTTCAACTCATTTCCAGTATTAATTGATGTATCAACAGTACTGATTTCAATGAAATTACTACCGTATAGCGGGTTTTTTTCAAGGATAACAAATTTCGCGAATTTCGTGGATTTTTTCATGATTCGCGAAATTAAATTCCTTGAAAATCAATTGATTAGTAAAAATTCGCGAAAATTAATTCTGCAAACTTCCGGATATGGGTCATTTGCGAAATTTATTATCCTCGAAAAAAACCCGCTATATGGTATTGGCACACAATCTTCTCCTCTTCTGAGTTCTTGTGTATCTTTGTGATGTAGCATCCAAGCTTTTCTTTTTTACCACTAGCAGATCCATACCTTAGCTTCACTGAAGGAGCCAAGTCAGGGTTGTTCATATTTTAGAGTTTTGCAGGAACACCACTGACAAAATGATCAGAACAAACACTGATATTATAGCATTGTTTAGGAGTAATATCAGCTCTATTTATTTTAAAGAGCCATGCTTTCTGTCTTCTTTGTGTCAGCAACTTAGTTTTAGTACCTTGATTGGTGAGTACGCTCAATAGTCGAAAAAAACTCTTTGCTTTATCTCTATCACTCCAATTCCCACAGCCAACCATAGCACAAATCACCACCTTGTACACCAAGATGGCCAACAAAAAACACAGTCTCCTAACTGCCCTACCTAATGCAAAGGGTCTATGCTTGCAAAAAACGGATGTACATGCGTAAACATACATACTGTGGTATCACAGAATATAGGCAGGTTAGACACTCTGCCTAAATAATTATCCACTCTTGGTATTATGCATATATATATAGGGTTGACACAAAAAGACAGACAAAAACGGGACGTGACTGTGAGTCTTTTATACAAAGGCTTCGCCCAATTATTACTAAACTGATGACAATATGCGCATAAGACCTATACCCCCTCCATGCTACAATATAGGACCCTATGCAGATTTAACTTTCACTGACGGATATTACAAATCACCTAATGATTCTAACCTTTTCATCTAACACTTCCACGACCTCAGATGTTAAATGAGACTTAATTTCGTTCCAAGTACCTCTAGCCCTTAAAGTCTCTTTTATTACTAAAAATTATAATAATTATAAACAAGTGAACTAAAAATAATTATTATGATTTAAATTTACTTTTCTTTAAGTCATCCGCCATACTAATGCAGCTGGCCACTGGTGCTGACTGCTCTAGTGCTCTGCTGGCTGCACTGAGTGACAAACTAAATCTATTATAAAGAAAAGAAGCTCCTCCCAACCCCTCCTTTTACCGCAATACGCATGCGCAGCAAGTCTTCCTCGTGCTTCTTGAATCTATTTGATAACATTAGTGACAATGCCGGTGAGTTTGACTTTTATTTCTATAGATTTGAGTGATCTCTTGTTGTATAATAGTTGGCCAAGGACCTGCTTCATCCTTCTCCTGAAGAGGAAAAAAGAAAACACAAACTGAAGCGTCTTGTGCAAAGCCCTAATAGTTTTTTTATGGATGTAAAGTGTCCAGGTAAACTACATGTATAATGTTTTATCTTAAAATCATTATTGCTTAATTACGAATTGTTGCCTTGTGTGTCAGTAAACACAGTGACAGACACAATTGTGGGTGTGGTATGGATGTGTGCATCTAGATAGTATGAAAGTACATGTATTGTACAGGGCCTTATATGGCAGACATTATGGAGCGAGTGTAGTATACTGGTACCCTTTAGAACGCCATTTTGACATTGCTGACGTCACTCATGACATTATACATGGATGCCCCATAGTAGCCTGAGCTGGAAAGTTGCTATATAAGGAGCACATCTCATGGAGGGGGCTATGATTCCCCATACTTTGTAATTGTTTATTGAAATCATTAAAAACCATAAAATCAAAAAAAACATTAAAAGAACATTACAAACAGTAAAAAATGAGTGAAAAGCTGAGTATCAAGAAAAGCAAGTACTAGGATGAGTAATGGAAGCCCTAAAAATAAACAGTAAAACTCAAAAACAGGCAAAACTGAAAATTATAAATGTGACGTAATTAGAAGATCCTACTTGGGTTCGAGCACCTAAAAACTAAACCCTAACCCCTACACCCGAGCACCCTAAAATTAGGGACGGGACATAATGTGAAGAGAATGCTTTGTAGGCTGTGAAGGTTTAGGGTTTGGGTTTTGATGTTTTATTTAGGGTTTTGTTGGGTTTTGTGTCGGTGGTTGTGTGTGGGGGGGGGGCTTCGCCACATCACAACCTACTTCATTTTTGTGTAAACCAATTCTTTAAAGTAGTATCATTAGATGTGATATTATAAAGGTCCTTAAACCACATCTTTTGAGGATAAGAAAAAATTACAGAAGAAGCAGCAGTAGCAGCAGTCGCCATTTTAACCATACAGATGATCACGTGATGAGTTGGCCACGCCCTTGACATGATGTGATGTGACGAAACTTCCAGTAAAATGGTGTATTTCCGGGGTACCGGTATACTACACTCTACCCGACATTATTTTATATCTCTTACATTTTCAGGCTATGTTTATGTGTATAGTCTCTGGCAGGGGAAATGTCCACACTTTGTCATTTGTAATTTAATATATTAAAACAAGCGTAGCAGTGTAAAAATATTCCTATAATTAATTTCACCACCTTGCATGCATAGCTGGGCATTAAGACTTAATTAAGACTTATAGAGGTTCTCTCTACCTGCAAATGCTTCTAGAGAAGTCTTTAGACAGTATCTTTATGTTCTCTTGCTGATAGAAACCTCATCACTTTTTCCCGTATGTAATTCACCATTTTGTTTACTGTGGCCACACCCACTTACTTAAAGAAGTGTGGGCAGGTGGTTGCTAAGGCTTATTAATTCTCCAATACAACATGTATAGAATAATTGTAAGTGTGGACATACAAGTATATATAGATAGCGTAATGGTGAAATCAATTGTGGAACGGCTTGGGGGCAATGCCCCCAGGTCGTAAAAGCATGCATCAAAATGTTGTTGTATGTGGTTTATTTTCTGATTTTAAGAATGTGTTAATAGCTGGTTTAACATAATACCGTATTTCCTCAATTACAAAATTACAATTACATGTAATTGACTGTATTCCCTTGGTCAAAATTGTCAAAACAAAGTATACCGTATAGCGCTTTAATTTTGTGGAGCTAAAATTTTGCGGATTAACAAAAATTAATTTTTGCAGATTCGCAATCATAGTGCCACCATGGTGCCACACCTTTAATGGCAATTGAAATTTTAGCGGATCTTTAATTTCGCAGTTTCATGCTAACCGCGAAAATAGCAAAAGTTTAGCTCCTCAAAAATAAAGCGCTATACGGTATTATTAGTGCATGAGCTGATAAATATTCCCAATAAGCTATTGATTCTGGTGTCTGTGAAACTGCTGTTGTTTGTGTGTGGGCAAAGCAATGAGTCAATAGTCTTATGCATGTAAAGGAAATTAATTTCAAAAGGTCTGAAACATACAGAGCTACATTGTGCATTACTTAAATCAATTAGCTATTTTATCTCCGATTTTGTTTATTCGAAGCCTCTAGAATTCAGAGTCTCACTTGTGCTGACTTAATGTTACTTTTCACAAGCTTACATGTATGAATTACATAATAGAAAGCTAGATGGTGTTATAGTTTTGTGCTTCCTATTTTTCCCAATAATTTACACATACAATGTATTAAAAATTACCAACCATCACATGAAATATACTTGAGTTACAGTATAATTATTTGGTACATGTGACAAATTGTAATCACTTATTTTAATAATAGGGTGTTACAAGATTACAACTGTGTTCAGTCATGCACAGACTGTTGTACTTTGTGCAAATTGTAGAAATGTCCTCTGCCAACCTACTGGAGGAAAGGCAAGACTAACAGAAGGTTTGCAGTTAGTCTTAACACCATGAATTATGTGGATATCTTTATAGGATGTTCCTTTAGAAGAAAACCTCATTAAAAGATGACTGAATAATTGACATGTTCAATTTTGAATAATTTAATAGTAAAAGTTTATTACTGATAAAGTTATTATGCTTTGTCGTGATTCTACCAGCTTGTTCTGTATTTTGCATGTGTATTTCAACTTTCAAGGTTTCTTCAGACTTAATAGTTTCTGTTGCTTGTTTTGGCTGAGCAGTTTTATGTAAGTATTGCCTGGCCTTGAGCTAAATTTTAAAAGTAAATATTGTGAAATCGCTATGAATGGTTTCTTTTAAATTATGCAGTCATTGAACAAGTATGAACTGTTTTAAGTTTTTAATTGTGAGCTTGAAGACATGGTACATTACATCATAATTCTTTCAGACTTTCTTCATGCCCGAAATAGTACACATTAGTTACCTAATGTATGAAATAGAACTACTTATTTCATGTTGAGCTGAGAAACTGTATCATAATTTATGCGTTCTACATGGCTAGGCTTAGATGATGTAATAGACCTCAATAACCTGTAATGTTTAGTTGTTTACAGTATACCCATTTTCAGACTTCTGTTTTTTTAGTAATGTGCCATATGAAAGTCAAGAAAAACGGAAGATTTGCAACTTGTCAAACGTCATTATTTATAATAGGAGTAGAAACTTAGTGACTGATTAATTTAATAAAATGGTCTAATTCATTAACAAAATTAATACTCATAAATTAATAAGTGTCATTTATGCTTTCTCTTTTTCTTGCTACTGGCCCCACTCTGCCCTTGAGAGTCTCCTGTGGCTTCACTCCCTCGTGAATGACGTGACTTCAGCTTTGGTATTTGTTCACAAACCAAAAATAACACATCCTTGCGTGTTTTATATTCTGAAACGAATGGTTTCCCTTCTGAGTTAACTAATTGAACCCTGACTCTCCCACTATGCAAATGATCTCTTGAATGTTCACGAGGATATTGTTTTGCCTAAAAAACATCATTATTAAAGTCAATAATCTGAGAGCAAGTTTTGCATAATTTGGCATGTGATTTCATAAGGAATGAAATCATTTATAGACCTTTATACACCTGCAATATGGTTAAAACTGGTTCAGTACCAATAATTATTTGTTTCAAAGCACATCAAATGAAACCACTATACAATTTAAGAATCAATATTAGAAGTGCTCTAAAAGCTACTGGGCATAAAGCTCTATCATTTCAAGTTGGGGTGAAAATTTTTAGCTAAGTCAGGTGAGTTTTTATACAATTTATGGTCATTAACTTTTAGGAACTATCTGTACATCTGGTGATGGACTGTAATCATTGTACTAAACTTAATAATATGCCACCTTTTTCATCTTCAAAATTCCACTTTCAAAAGTAAAACATAAAAACAATAGTCATAATAAAAAGCTTTAATCTAAACATACAGTAAACTGTTTATCAACTTAAATTTTTAGAATCCCAATGCATGTGTTTGTTATAATTATATAAGTGCCAAAAAGAGCCAATGTGTTATGTGTGCAACCATGCAAAAGAACATTTTATAGAAAACTCATTATACATGCACATGTAGATGCAGCAAAATGTCACAAATGAAGGATGGGTAAAACAGACAATTATTTAATACATCGAGTCAGGCATGTATACTAACCCCTTCAATCCCTTTCATTTTCTCTATGACTACATTCTTAGTTTACAAACAGTTACAGAAATGGATACAAATTTTGAAAAGCACAACCTGTATCCTTATTCCTCGTTAAATGTACAAGTCTGACAAAAGTGTACTAAAGATTAAGGTGAAACCTTGTTGATCAACTAGTGAACTAATCACAAAAAATTCTATATGCACTTTTGAATTACAGTAAATGTTCAAAAAAAGCCTGGCACTTCTACAAATATCTTCCAAGTATAGATACATATATTTTACTCAATATAGTACCTTCCATTTTAAGAATATCCCAAGTGCCATAACTTATTAAGCTGAGTCCCTGACCCCAAGGTTCATATCATGGTTTTGGCCTTTTCAATTTTATTTCACATATTTTTTTTTGTCTTGCAAAGAAATAGATGCCCAGGCTCTTATTTCAACATTATGATAACCTCTTTATGAAACCCACACCTAGCCCTGCATGATACGTAATTTATAGCATACATTGTGTACATGTACATGTACATGTAGATTAGAAGCTGCAAAAAATTAGACTTTAAATACTGTGAATACCCAAAAACTCAGTTTTTGCTTTTAAAGCTTGAGGATAGTAACATGTGTATAGTGCATGGACAACAGGATAAATTCATGTACATGTAGCTAAATAAAATGACCATTATAGAGCTTTTGCATGGATGTATTCATTGTGAGGGTCTGGCTAAATTGTCTGCCATCTTGGGTAACAAGAATATACATGTACATAGAGGAATGGACAAAATATCTGAATAATTCTGCAGTTGACATTCCAGGCTAATGCAAGGCAGGAGATGAAGGTATAGAGTGAAGAACTCTATAATATTCTGCAGTGAAGTACATGTACATGTGTATATTTGATGAAAAAACCCAGTTTGTTTTCATTCATTGACAGTACATTCTTGCCACTCAGGATGATCATAGATATTAGAGTACACAGGGATTGGAAATGGGGCATAGCAACAGGGAAATTCTAGTTGATAGTACCGTAAATAATTTCTCTAATTATTCGTATGTAAAATTAAAAATGGCTGAAAGTTGAAGCAAGTAAGCATACTTCTTAGGTGGTTTATTGTTGCATATAGTCTTATTTTGCATAGGTAACCCTTCAATAATGTTGAGAGACATTCTTCCTGTTTGTCCAAGCTGTCTGCTGTAGCAATGTATTTGTTTGCAGTTTAAATTCAGTGTTTTATGAATTAGCAATCATTATTGATCACATTTACTATATTTAGTTCTATATTTTGTTTTGTATAACCTATTGAATAGAAATGGTGTCAGCG